TTTCTTGTGCTGACAAGTTTGCACTAGTGGTTTAAATTGACTGATGAGCTATACTACACCATGGACAGATAGGTTTGGATAGCTGCAAAAATCGGGAACAGCCTATGATCTTTCATGTGTATCTACACCCCAGTGGAAATGATGAAGAAAAAGTTCAATTCCTGTAAATCCTCTCACTCCTACTCCCCAAAGAAGATAACCCGGCTATTCTACACCATGGACAGATAGGTATTGGTCCAGCAGGGGACTGAAGCTCGATCCAATACCCCGTGCTGGACGTATTAGCAGAGACGACCCGTTGATGCAGGACTTTAGGGCAATCAATCTTTTCAACGAAAGCCAAGAGTTTTATTGGTCCCTTCACAGTTCTTTACCCCGAAGAAACAAAATTTACATGGGTATCTACTATCGCGTAATGCAAGGGCCAATGGTGCACACACCAAACTCAGGCTGGGTTACTTCTTACTGAAAGGAAGCCCATCAGACTGGGAAATGGAGGTGAACATACCGTTTGCCACACTGTCTGACCATAAGTCCGTGATAGGTTGTTTCACCCCATACAATAGAATTCGGAGGGGGACAAGACTAATATAGGTTGAACACAACTATCCTGGGGGACAACTCCCTGGGTGAACCACCAGTACACCACAAATAGGCCCGCGGGTATCAGCATAAAACCTGCATCACTTCGGTGGCCGCTAATTGTTTTTTCTAACGGTGCCCCTGGCGGTGCGGCGCCTCCTTGTTTTGCTTGTGGCAACAACAGCTTTCAGCAAGGTTGGGGACGTGTACTAGCGGTTTAAACCACCAGTACCTTTCTCAACTATCGATGCCGAGCCTAAAACTGCCCTGCGCGCCAAAAACAAAATGAGCCGGCGCGGGCCTCGTTTTGGCTGGCGCCACCAACCATTTCGCGCCGGTAGTGTCGAGCCTGCCCGCCTCCCCTGTTAACCGGCGGGCATTTGTTTTCCAAGCACGGAAAGGTATTACTGGTGGTTTAAATCGGTTCAAGCATTTCTGAAAAAGTCCAATAATAAAAAAATGTATTTTGAGGAGGGGGAGTGGGTGGATGCAGGGAAAAAGGTCGTTGCGGCCTCCCTCAGCTGTGCATCAAGGATCAAAGCCTTAAATAAAACCCTAGAAGGACAACAAATCATCTTCAAAATCGAATAGGCAGAGAGCAAAATCGGTTCAAGCCTTGTGTAGGATAAGTACTGGCAGGTCCTGAGTGCTGCTCACACTGAGGTAAGATAGTAGGGATAGGGGGTGCACTAGGAGAATTAACCTGGCGAAGGGCAGGGAAGGTGGCCGATCCTGTCAGGACAACCATCGGCTGCCGCTGCCAGCGATCACCGTGGGTTTGGTCCTTGGCCTCTACAACGCCCTGGGCTTATCGGGGGAATGGGGAAGGAAGACGAAGAAAAAGGGTACGAACTGGTACGGTAAGAGAAACAAAGTGAAGAACAAACTTGAAAGTATCCAAATCAAGGTTGTTTTTATTTTTATTTTTTAAACTCCATCTATTGATGGGGAGTGTCACCTGCTGGAAACCGGGTCCAGCGTCCCATAAATACATCTTTTGAAACCTTGAATATGAACCATAAGAATAAATTGTTGTGTTGAAATTCGTGCCTCTTAACCCTAATCAGGGCGCCTGAAAAACATGTCATTCCAAGCACTAGATCAACCCTCTATGTATCAACAGAATAACCAAAAGCGAGGTTACCAGAACTAAGGGTTCACTCATATCCGTACCAAGATCTGGGAACCAAACATAGATTCGATGGAGGAAAAGGATCAGGGAAATCCATCGGAGGCCTTAATGGAATAGCAGGATAAACTTCCATCCAGTCATTGAAGATCAAGCGGTAGTTCCTCTGAAACTCAACCTGATCATTTTCTTGTGCTCCCTCTCATTCCAACCGCCCTAACCTCCCTCCCTTATCCCCCCCAAGCCAGCTTTGATTAAATGATTTAATGTGTTGCAGGATTTCTTTTTTCTGTTTCAGATACTGTATTTTTTCTTTTAGTCCTTCCTATTTCGTAGTAATCTCCGTTTGAATATGTAGCTTAATAGTTTCAGTAAACTCTGGCCCATCCAAGCGTGCACCTTCCATTTCATAGGTACATCTTCGTGTCCATATTGCCCAAATAACTACTCTCCTTCCAATTGTGAACAAGTTTAATGTAAAGTCATCAATCTGAACAGGATTCCAGGCTTCCAAGAGTAGCGCCTTCCAATCCCAAGGCCACGGGAGGGTTGTTCCCAATTGATTCCAAATCCTGTCCCACCAACGCCATAACCAGACTGATCCTGGACATTGGAGAAATATGTGCTCTAATGTTTCTGGTATTAGTTTGGAAGGGAAGGCTGATTTACATAACTTGCATCATGGGTGAGCTATACCTCTTTGTTCTAATGAGGTTCTATCTATAATCCAATCATTCGTAGGGAGGCAGCGATGGGTAATCTGCCACTGCATCGATGCTACCTTGGCTGGGCGAGATTTAACAGAGAGAAACCATTTAACTGATTGCAATTCTTCTTAACTTACATTTAGTTGTTTCATCCATCGATTTTCTATTCGGTCCTTTATGTTCACCTTAGGGCGAAGCATTCTGTAAGTAGATTTGACTGATAATTTGTGAAGTGATCTAGAGAAGGAACGTCCCCTTCCACCTGAACTAGACCAGGTCCAGTTTACCGGGTCAAAAGGTTGGTGAGAAACGGGTGTATCTGGTTTAAAACCCTGATCCGAAAGAGTTGGTCCACCTTGAACCACTCAGTGTGCTCTTGTGCCATAGGCTTAAGAAAACCATCCGCTTCCAACTCAAGAATAGACAGGAGGATATCCCTTTCATTGATGACTTCAATTATATTCCCCCGTACTCCTTGTTGTGCCTTGATGGTTACCCAGTCGTTTGGGAGGAACTTGGGCCCTTTCTTAAGAATTCTAACCCATTCTAAAGGGATTATGTCAATTATCTGCTCCAGGGCTTCCTTATGATGATGACAACGTCTCAAGCGCTCCTGGAGGATCGAAGAATCAACCCAGTCTCTGTTCTCACCATTCCAAATATCCCTGATACGAATAACACCTTTCTTAATCCACCCTTTCCATGGCGAGTCTGTACAGTTAAGCGTACAACCCTGAGTGTCTCTGATAAATGTGTTGTTAAATAATGGTTGTTGACATACTTCATCCCATCTCTCAGGGTCTATCTTATCAGGAAGGGGGAGTTTCCTCCAGGTTTTCATTAAAGTTATCCAAAAGGGATCCCTACTAAAATCTTTCCTTGCGGTTTGGCGATCTGAGAGGTCCCCCTGATGAGGTTGCGGCAGAGAAGCTCTTGGAAGGGACCAGGATCGATTTTCTAGCCACATGAGGGGGTCTACCTCCTCTGAAGTGGGTGGTGCTAACCTCCTAATTTGCTCACAAACCAAAAAAGACTTGGGCTGAAAGGGCGAAAATCAAATCGATTGGAGTGAGGTACGAACTTATCCCCTCCTCCATTCCTTCCTACCCTCTTCCTTCCCTCTTTCTTCCTTCCGCCCCTCCCTACGCTGGTATACTCGCCTCAATTCCTCCCGCCTCCGCCCCCCTACCTCCTTACCCTTGCCCCGCTATCCGATCCTCCACTCCCCCCTTCTACCCTTGTGGTTGTTTTTCTTGTTCTGCAGATAATTTCAGAATATTGTCAAAGAAGAAAAAGAGCTTACTGATTGTGGAGCTCCAGGATCTCCACCACCCATTCGACTCCTTTGAGCCAGTTGCTAGAGACACTCCCCAGATGATTCTGCAATACACTGGATTGTATTTTGAGAATACTTGTTAATCATCTCGTCCAGAAGTAGCTGCTCAGTCTGCGATCCTGATTCAACGACAGCTCCGGAAAACCTTGGAGGCCCAATCCAACAACTAGACCAAGACAGAGCTGTGACTGTGGAGAAATTGTGGGTGGCAGTGGACAACATGCCAAAAGGTAAATGTCCGGGGAGTGACTGTTACCCGGCATAATATTACATAGCCTTTTGGGATATCCTATGCGCAGAAGGAAAGGAAGGGGGGGAGTCCTCACAATGTGAGACTTGGTACTGTATTTCTACTTCACAGGAAAAAAAGAGATAAGAGAAAGATACGAAACCGGAGACTTATATCTCTCTACTCAACACCTCATATAAGATTCTAGCCAAAGCATTCGCTCTAAGGCTAAGAAGGTACCTTCGATCACTCGTTGGAATTGAGCATGTGGAGGAGGAAAATTATGAGATACCTTATCACTCGTTGGAATTGAGCATGATGGGGAGGAAAATTATGAGATACCTTTGATCATTCATTGGAATTGAGCATGATGGGGAGGAAAATTATGAGATACCTTCGATCACTCGTTGGAATTGAGCATGAGGGGGAGGAAATATTATGAGGTACCTTCGATCACTCGTTGGAATTGAGAATGAAGGGGAGGAAATATTATGAATAACATCATGATTAAAGCCTTGGAAGTTATCAATGGGGACGAACCAAACGTGGTAGCCTTGCTCCTTGATTGTAAGAAGGCGTACGACAGGGTCCGCTGGGACTTTGTCCTCAAGACCTTATCGCTGGCTGGCTGGTTTTGGGGACAACTTTCTGCCAGTGGTTCAGTGCCCTCTATACGAAAGAGGGGTAGGGGACACCCCTGCTTAAGTGACCCCCCTATCGTAGGTAAGGTGATGATTAATGGGGAAGTTTCAACCGCATTTATGTTGTCTTGGTCACTAAAGCAGGGATGTCCCCTGTCCCCGTTGCTCTTCGTCATTTCCAGATGGAGGTACTGCTCGCCGTCATTAGGAAACACACTGACGTTTGTGGAATTAAAAAAAAAAAGAAAAAAAAAAGAAAAAAAAAAGAAAAAAAAAGAAAAGAAAAAGAAAAAAAAAGCTAGGATCTGGAAGGCAGTGCAAGGCATCAGCAATGGATGACGAATAAAATTTGCTCTCGCTACTAACTGTGCAAGTTGCTTTTCTTTGGTGCTCTTTAAAAACGTCTCGATCCGTCCGTACTCCCTGGTCTCTGAGGTTCTGGTTAATTGGCATAAATGAGTGGTAATCGTACAGAAATAGTAAATACAAATGTTTGAGTGGTGGGGATTGGGGGTTGAAATGCCTGGCGGTTCATGAATATGAAAGGTTCTTGCGAGTCCGACTCGGTTCGATGGACGTAAAAAAAACATGCCACTGATATGGTCAAAGCTGGAAAACGGGTCCAGCGTCCGAAAATGTACAGTTGAGAAGAAGTAAGGCAAAAATAAATAAGGTCTTGGCTGCCAGCATTGACTCACTGTGCAGCTGATCAATACCCTCGTTCACCGAACTCAAACCGCTTGTCCATCGGAAAATCAAACCCCTCGTTCATCGAAACTAAACCACCTTGTTCATTGAAATCAAACCCCTCGTTCAGACAGAAGCTTCTGAAATTGTTCCCAGGTCAACCCCTGTTGCGTATACACTAATTTAGAGGGGTTGTAAGGGGCCTTGATTCTATCAATACTCTTGATGAGAGCTGTTGGGGGCAGCACTGGTTCTGATGGATCCGCAGAAGTGGGCCGCATGAGCGATGAGGAATAGCCCTGCACAATAGACGAAACACCAGATTGGCAACCACCAATCATTTAGTATTTCGTTTTTTTTTTTTTTTTTTTTTTTTTTTTTTTTTTTGGGTCCATTTCTCGATTTTATGTGTGTCATCCTTGCGCAGCAGCGGCCATGCTAATCTTCTCCGTTATCTTTCCAATTTTAATTTTTAACAGATGTCCCGCCAATCATTTAGTAGTAATTTAGTACTATGTTTTTTTTGGTAACTTTTAGTAACTTTTTATTGTTTATGCATTTGGTAGTAATTTAGTACTTGTTTTTTTTGGTAACTTTTAGTAACTTTTTACTGTTTATGCAATTACTAACTTTTAGTAACTTTTTACTATTTATGCAATCAACCCAATCTGAAAACAAGCTCGTCAGTGTAGGAACAACAAATGGAATGTCTCAACACAGATTCAATGTCTCCAAAAAAAAACCTTCACATATTGTTAGGTGGCCAATTGTCTGATCACCAGAGAAAGGATGGGAGGAGGGAGATAAGACTGTGAAGGTGGAAGAGAAGGTACCGTCAGCATAGCAGATATATCTCCCTCTTTATCCCACTCCTTCCCGCATCTCCCTCGCGCCACATCCGCAGACAGTCCCCTCTGACACACTCTGACATACTCTGACACTGAGCTGATCTCATCATGGCGCTTATCAGCGCAGACTGCTCTTGAAAACGGACAGCAGTGCGCGATGTCGACTACGAACGCAACTACAAACGCAACCAGCCTCCACATTGTTTGATAAATCTCACAGCCCTGATCCTCGTCCTCCTCGCCAGGAGCACATCAATCTCATACTCAGTGTGGCTAGAGCCACCTCAGCATAGCAAGTGTCCAGCTGGCTGCGTAGACAGAGAAGGCGCCAGTACCAAGCAGTAGCAGTCTCGCGTCGTCGTCCAATGTCAAGCCAGCGCAGTGCCAGCGACGAGCCAGCGTAGTGCCAGCTTCCAGCTAGCGCAGAGCCAGCGTCAAGCAGCATGTGCAAGACTGAATGTCGGTGAGCAGGGGCTGGGTCAACTTATAGCGTTGACTCCGGTTGACCAGCCTCTGGTCTCTCCGATACGATGGCCCAGATTGTCTCGCAGGCAATGAATGGCCTGGATCCCGTACAGTTGCAGATTTGCACTTGGGCTTGATTCCTTACGGATGCCTGCAAGCAGCCAAAGCCGTGTGTCTGATCGGTGGCCTGGACTGGGTCCGCGTTGACTTTGACTCGTGAGTCTGCATTTCCGAGCTGCTGTTGACTGTTGACTTTCTTTCGGTCAACTGTCGCACGTTGGTCCTCTGTAGGCCAGTTTAGGCCAGTGGTTTCGGGTACCCCCCAAAGCAGCAGGCCTTCTTTCGACAGTTTGTATGGCCTTTGGGTGTGGTCGTTGACCCCTATTTCGGCCCTTTGACCAGAATGACGACCCGCGGCGCACGACTGATGCATGATTTGAGCTGAGTTATTCCATTTATGTATGTGCTCTTCTATTTTTGAAACTGTCTATTGCCTGTATATGTGTGGTCTTTATCTTTACAACAACACACATAGAAAATTGCCAATTATAAATTTCGTAAAAAGTACTAAAAACCAAATAGCTCCTCATAAAGTGCTCGCTTACTTGTGCAGACAATGCGTGTCCCGACTGCCCGGTACTAGTTGTGTACCTATTCTTGAAATAGCTCTCCCCCCCCAACCTGACTGACAGCCACAATGTACAAGACTTGAGGCTCTAAGTTCTCTAACCTATAGACACATAGCAGCTGCTATATCTATGGTGAAAATAATCATGTGGGCTATACTGCATATAGCTCGATCCACACAAGTCCATGTCAATCCTATGGTGAACAAAATCTTGCGGCTATTGTATTGCATACCTCTGGTCAACTCCATAAACTAGTGGCTGTTGAATTGTTTGGTCAACGCAAAGACCTGGTCATTCCGCTGCTCTGGTCAACACAAGCCCTGGTTCGTCCTTCAATCAACACAAACCCTGGTCAGTCCTGTGGTCAACGCAAGCCCTGGTAAATCCTGTTGCCAATGCAAGCCCTGGTCAATTGTGTGGTGAACTAGGCTGCCAAAGTGGCCCGGGACCACTTGCCTGGCCGAGGCAAAAAAAAAAAAAAAAAAAAAAAAAAGGTAAAGAATTGCGATGTGACCCTGAGGCAGCAAAAGTTGTTCAGTTTATTGTTCTGCATAACGTAGTTTTTTTTTTTTTTTTTTTTTTTTTGCCTGCGACCTTCCCAGGTCCTTGCACGGCCGGGCCGCCCGGGAAAATACAGTGACCCGGGCGGCCCGGCTGGTAGCCTAGGTCGTGAACACAAGCTTGTGAATTTTTGCAGAGCACGGTCAACAATACTTTTGTGACTGTTGCATCATCATTTCCTCAAGCCCTGGTCAATCCTGTGGTCAACTCATGCCTGGTCAATTCTGTGGTTAACACAAGCTTGAGGCTTTGCATACTTTGGTCAACACAAGCTTGTGGCTGTGTTGAATATTTTGGTCAATGGAATCTCTGGTCAATCCTCTGGTCAACACAAGCTTGTGTCTCTCTGTTTGCTAATCAACACAAGCTCTGGCCAATACTATGGTCAAGAGAACCTTGTGGGCCTTGTGGCTATTGCACATAGTCTCCGTCAACTCAACATTGTGGTTGTTGAATAACTATGGCCAACACAAACATAAAGCTCTGTTGAACAGAGGATGGTAATGGTCCGCGCTGCAAGAACCCTCGGTAGCGTAATGGGTTTTGTTTGCAAACCTATCTGTAACCAGGGTTTAGGGTTTGGGACATGTAGGGTTTACATATAGGGTTTACAGATCAGGGTTCAGGGTTTAGGGTTTACGTCCCTCAGGGGTTTAGGATTTAGGCCCCTCAGGTTTAGGATTTAGGCCCTTCAGGGTTTGAGGTTTGGG